TGTGTGTGTGTGTGTGTGTGTGTGTGTGTGTGTGTGTGTATGTATATATATATATATATATGTGTGTGTGTGTGTATGTGTGATAATCACTATGCTTGTCTCCATATATCTGTGCGTTGGGAATATATCTATCAAGGCCCTATACATACACATACCTGTGCATATCCGTGCGTGGGTGTGCATCTACCCCACCGCTCCCCACAACTGTCTGCTGACCTCTAAGCAACCTCTCACTCGTCCCGTCTTTACTTCTACCAGGCGTGTTCGGATTTCAAAAGGGGTGGCAACGACAGTGGCTGGTGGGTACTGAAACACGGACACCGACTGCCCCCCGAAGAAGAACTCAGGGCCCAGGTCACTCCTGAAGAGGTAGGGTTTTAGGGTTTATGGCTTTCAGGACTTTAGGGGTTTAACCCCCCCCCCCCCCCCCGAGGGTTCAGGGTTTAGGGCTTAAGAGTTTAGCGTTTTTGGTGAGTACTGTGGGGGGACTTTGGGATTTGGGATGTGGGTGTATTGAGTATGGCTTAGCTTTTAAATGGGGATGTGAGTACTTTTGTAGGAGCCCAAACTAGGTTCTAGAGTTTTGGGTTTTGGGTTCCTAAGGTAGACGTTAAAATGTGGTACGCTTGTAAGGATATGTGGGATCGTCTCTACGCCAATTCGCTGACAGTCACTTCCCCTCAATGTCCATCCGCAGTCACCAACAGCCGATAAACCCCACAAAAGCACACAACGCCCCACCACTGCACTCACATTTCATATCCCATGCATCACATATACCAATGCCACACACACCTTCGCTTGCGTTGCAGGTATGTGCGTACGAAAGCATGTGCGAGAGCTACCAACGCCTCCGAGACGCAGGGTATGGCAGCGGCAGTCTGGAAGAGATGGAGTCTAAGGAAGACAACGCAGACGATGAGGAGAACAGCAAGGTGGCAGATGAGGTCAAACTGGCGCCATGGCGAACCACAAGGAACTTTCTCGATGCCATGGCTAGTATGTTGTAGTAGAGACATGTAGATTATATATATATATATATATGTATGTATGTATATAAGTATTTATGTATATATATATGTACGTATGTATGTATGTATGTATGTATGTATTTATGTATATATACATATATATATTTGTATATATATATATATATATATATATATGTATACCCCTATA